ATTTTAAGACATATTTCAGAGGAATAGTATATTTAGCGTTGTTTCGGTCTCTAGAGAATGCTTGTAAACATGAAATGCTTTTTCTGGACCCTCCTTGCTTAGCACTGGAAATTAAATATGAAGGACTTATCTGTATTTGGAAATCCTGAACTAATAATAATTGAGCGGAAAGGTCGAGGAGGCACAGTATGTGTATGATTAGATTCTCATTCTCATGTTTATAAACAATAATTGTTTTATCATAGAAATACAAAAACCACAATAGTTAACCGATATTAAGTTGTATTACTAACTTACCGTTACAGTAATAAGAACCAAGGGTGTTAAAACAGTAACCATTATTTTTGTCACATACAAAATCATATTCAACACATTCATCAATATCTAGAAAAAATATAACTTTATAAGATGTTCTTCAAGTTGCATGTTTAAAGTGTTTATCTATTGGATTTTGATATGCTTATGTTCAGTGAAAATTCGTTTACAAGTAAAAGTTTGTGGTTCCACCACTGCTGATGTTCAGGGATTAATTGTTTAAAGTAAAATTTTAAATTTTTGATAGTTGATACAGATTTGGATAGATAATAATAATAATGATAATACATACACAATAGTGCTTTTGATAGATACAAAATAGTGTTTTTGATAGATACAAACAGTGTTTTAATTGAAAATACTGTTTATGATAGAAAATACTGTAATTGAATAAATTGATAGATAATAGTGGTTTTGAAAGAAAACAGTGATTTTGATAGATAGTAGCGATGTTGATAGATAATACTGATGTTGATAGATAATACTGATTTTGATAGATAATACTGATTTTGATAGAGAATACTGATAAATATGTTGATATCTTACCTATACAGATTCCGGGTGTCTGGGATGGTTTATAACCTCTTTCACATTGACAAACAGCCTGGGCTAGAGCATTGAGAGTACAGTAACCGTTAACACATCTTACAGTATCACAGGCTGTCAAAGAGAAAAATAAACAAAATTAAAATGAACAGAAATTCTAATTTACATCCGTTTTCTTTTTGTATTTTGCCGTGGATGGATGTTAATTCATAAATCAAAAACATGCTTGGGCTTCGACACCAACATTCCAAAGGTTGCCTGATTTAGCTTCCATTGCACAGAACTATGTTATTGCAGGAAGATATATTTTATTTTAAACGTCTGGCTATAACTGGGATCCAACTACATAGAAGGTTTACCTGAGATTTACCACGAATCCGTTTACATCATTATTTCCAATTAGAACAAAACACAGGCGCTATTTAGAGTGGTTAAGCGTCCAATGAAATCAAGCAAAATATATCGTAATATATAATTCAAAGGACAACATCGTCAAAATCAAGTCACCTGAACACAATCCCATTTTCGAAAGTGAACCTAAAAATCCATAGAATAAATTTTAATTACTTACCACTCTGACTTCTAACTGTCATCAAACCGCATAAAGCAAATAAAGCAACAAACATGGAATTCATCATGACGTAGTAGTAATTTCTTGGTGGAATTTAAGTTTTTAATCGTATTTTAGTCCTCGGTAAGAACGATATCTGGTATTCGTTTTTCTTGAAATGTTTCGCCTGTTTGATTGAATCCTTAAAAGTTGGTTATCTGAAAGTTTCTGTGTGATCTTCTTTGCTGCTATGCTTTAAGACTGCTGTTTAGAATGAGATGTTGTACCTTCTATGCTATCGTTCATATATACTTACTCAGGATCAACAGTTTTTTCAACAATTAATTAATGTTTAATCCCATTCTGTAATCGATAACTCAAAATGATTTTTTCCTAGCCAAAGTTGTGAGTTTACACAAAATAATATTTATCTTTAATTAAAAGAAAACTGATCAGCAAACCATTAATACCAGAAAAAAAAACCAACGTTAAATAATTTGAATAATTTATATTTTTATTCATCAACAGTTAACAGTTATTGCAATTAATGATAATACTCTCAATTTGTTATTTTTATGCTTTAATGAAGCAATTAACCTGGTCTGAACTCTGGACCATGTTGATCAAACTATTGCTAACATTTGGATTTTTAATTTTCCCAATTTTGTGCATTTATCTGTACAATACGTGTATGCATGTAGACCTACTGTTTGTGTTGTTTTGCTGACATCGGGACTGCTTTTGTTAATTAGAATAAATTGCACATTCTTCTGAAATATTTTGTTTAGTAATTTGTAAGGAATTGATCATTGAATTGTTCCATACATTCTGTAAATAGTCAAGTGTTGTGTTACATTCACTTGATTTAATATACAGTATTTGTTGTTTATTTCTTGCAATGTCTATGTATTCTGTCTTGTGTGCAGGTTCATCTTGTAGGTTTTGTTTTGCGTGTAGTGCGGGCGGTCCTCCTGCACTTAATATAAGAAGATAACTGAATATGCCTATATGCATGGTATACAGGAAACAATTCTATGGAATACAATTATAATGTTTATTAGTGACCGACGTTTCCACTATAAGGATTCTCTAGTCTTCATCAAGCAATGATTCAATTACAGAAAATGATGAGACGTTACAATTACGATGGCCTTTTTTTTCTCAAGTTCAATTACGAAATGCTATTGATTAAAGGCATATATTAACACACTGGAAATAAGTCAAAGATTAATCCTCTAGCATAAGAGAAATTCTAGTATTTTGTGTTCTACCAAAAGTTTCCTTTGTAAAAACAAAAGTATAACATCACAGAAATGGTATCAGGCGTTCTGTAAAGAAGGTATATTATTAATGACATTATTCTTAATCACGTCTTAGAGGTGACTTTCAATGGGATTTACGCTATATAGAAAATAATATACATGTTGCCTGAATACTAGAAATATAAATATATCATCACTTTAAATAGAAAACATTCTGGGTGTACTGAGTATTCTTGAATTTCAAGTTCCATTGTAAAACATGATTATAATCCTGTCTTACTACGTATATTAACTGTATTTTTAGTTTTCAGTGGCACGATTTCAATGTCGTTATTAATATAGAGCTTGTAGTAAAATTATTACATGACAAAATCTTCATATAATAAATTAAAAAATAATGTGCGTAATGTGACTTCTTATGTGGTAACCACTCAATTTTAAATTAATTATAGTTGATATTTTAATTTTGTTTTCTTAATTAAATGTTAAATAATCAATCTGGATTAAACCGTGAACAGTTTGATATTTTCCGAAAAATGCAAATCACGCATCTTTACTTTAAAGTGCATCATACTATTAATGCCATTTAATATCTTAATATCAGTTTATGTAGAGAGAAATGAAATGACTAGGGTAATGAAGACGGATGCAGAGACAGAGAGAGATTAGGGCTCCCCGGATATCAGGAAATAAGAAAAGTTGATTTATTAAGTCATCTAAATATCGTGTTTATAGCTCACTTAACACCACCAGGTTATTTCCGAGGCTAAATCTCAAAGGCAAACCATCTCACATAATGCGCACGCTTTGGATCCCCCACCCTCGCTTGACTCATGACAGACCTTATTATCTAAAGCGCACGCCCCTGGCCAGTCACCGCTCCCATATTTGAACAAGTTGTCATATTTTATCAAGAAGATTTGCGTAAGCTCCAAACTTTCTTGGACGCTGCACAAAAACTACAACTAAAATTGATTTTTTTATTACTAGCCACCCTTAATTCAAAAACGTCGTGTTGTCTTTAGTTTTATTCTTTTATTGTAGATCTTTTTGTAATTATCTCTTCACAATCTGCTAGAAATCAATGACAGAAAACCCCGAATGAAAACAACAGATTTTAGTCGCAATGATAGCAGTTGCCTTGTATTTGGCTTCATCATTCAAAGGTAGATTCGAATGATCTTTTGACCTTAATATCAGTAATGTACATATTTTTAGGCATGCCTAAAGATGAAAACAACAAGAAAAGAAATACATTGAAGGTGACCTCAAACAGTGGGTGCAACTTTTTTTGTCAGATGAATGAAGCGATTTAGCCTTGGGCGACATCTTTACATCTCTAACTTGTTTTACTTCATCTGGGGTAGATTAATGTTTCAGGTAATTTATGATAATATTGTAAATCGTCTATCATTTTTATTTACTGACATATATACGACCTATAACGGACAACCAACGGTGGTAGAAAGATCTGCTCTACGATTTTTGGTTAAGCGAAAGATACAATAATAACTGTGATATATCGATATGCAATTTATTTATATCGCCCAAATATGCCCTCAAATTTGTCCTAGTTACTGAGTTTTAAAGATAAGTGTTGACAAATATTATTTTTCTGATATTTTCATTCACTGTAATATATGTATATGTATGAAAATTATATACGGTACTTTTAGAATATAACAACGATTTGTCTGGTCTGAATGCATTTTAGACATGCCTCGTATCATTTATTGTCGACAACCCGATTTTTAGTCGCCGACACACTGTCGGATAAAACTCCTAGTGCTCGATTTATCGACTTTTCGTCAGTGATGGCATACCTTGGACTAGAATTCGCAGCAATCCGTTGTGTCTCTCCACCCCCCCTCCCCCCTCCCGAGTCTCGCTCCACCGAACTCTACATCGATCGAATGATATATCCTGCTTAATACAGAGGCCAAAAAATAACGATAAAAAATAAAATGAGTTTTCAGTTTTATTAAAGTATTATTATATAGCCAATAGTCAGATATTGAATCAAAACATTAAAAAAAAATGCAATCTATAGAGAATTTGACAATTTTATAAAACATAAAATATGCCCTTTGAATCACGACAACAGATTTGTCTGTGATATCAACGATTTAATTAATCCAGTAAAATTGATGAATACATCATTCTGACAACTGTAAGGATCAAGCATTTTGTTTCGTTTTCTAAAATAAAATGGCAGAATGTCATGTAGACACTATTTATCAACAGGTTTCTATGGATTAAAAAGAAACATTTTTTGACCTAATATAATTATTTTATGAGTTTTCATGAACAGTAAGAGTAAGAAGAATTGGATTACATTTCGCCTCTTAATAGGGACAATAATAAAAATGGATTTATTCCCGGTTGTTGTCGTTGGTGATAATATCTAGCTGACCAATCACATTCTGAAATTGAAAAAAAGCAATGTTTTACATTAAACATTGGTAACATTTTATATGTTAGGGGATGCGGACACAACAATTAGTATAGTAGGGGGTTGAAGGGTGGGGGGTATCTATGAAATAAAGCGGTCTAATTATTTTTAGTAATGGGTGTCATCTAAGGTGCATGGTATTCTTACGTTTCCAAAAGCTTATTGTAACCCCTTCTTTATTTAAGAGATATATCAAAAGCGTTGTAATTACCACCTTATCGTTACCCTTAACGACATAAATGGGTACCGCTATACTCAGCTGTAGATCGGTAGTACACAAAGATAAGAGATAAACAGTCATTAACAGGATCCTGGAAACTGGTGTAGTAGTATAATAGCGCTTCGAGCATGACCCTTGCAATTAATGTTATATACGATTTTATTGTTAATTTTAACAGTAATTTTAATATAAATGCTATCACGTTTATAGTAGACTACTTTGTGTATTTTTAAGAAAGAGTTATTATCGACAACTTACTCTACTTCACTTCAAACCGACAACTCACTTATATTCGTATCGACAGTTCTATTCTCAACGTTATTTTGCGTTGGTAACGACAATTCTGTTTCTGACCGTATTTGAGAGTTGGGACCCGTACGCGCAAGCGAATTATTGAAATAAAATTAAACCATATGTTAGACCCGAAATGACCTAGTTTGTGTCGAGTGGACGTTAAACGCCATTTCTCTCTCTCTCTTGAGAGTTGGTAACGACAATTCTATGTCTGAGCGTATTTGGGAGTTAGTAACGACAATTCTGTGTTTGACCATAACTGGAAGTTGTTTCTATTTCTGACCGTATTTGGAAGTAGGTATCGACAATTCACGAAGTCTATTTCTGGCAGTATTTGTAAGATGGTATCGACAACTTCTATTTCTGACCGTTTTTTGAGAAATGGTGTCGACAACTATGAGCGTATTTTAGACATAATATGGATACTTACGACTGTTTGTTATACATCTAAATCTACCAGCTTCATTACAACAGTTTAACTGACCACAAGGGTTTACTGAAGCTTGACATTCATCTATATCTGATAAAAAAACCCAATAACATTGTTTTACAACAAAACCTCACAAATGTATCCATTATAATTTATTCTGTATCGGGCTGGTTTACTTTATTTATTATACTAATCATGACGTTCGTATCATCAGAAATGATACAGCGTTGAAATAGTCCCCCTTTTTTTCTTGGATTGTTCCTTTTTTGTTGGGAGGGGGGGTTGGATGGCCGAATGGTTAGCACGTGCGTGCTGTATCATACGGCCTGTCATTGAGTCAACTGGCGTGGTTTCGAATCACCGATTGTACGTGACAAGGAGTAGGTTCGCCTGTCCAACCTCGTGGGTTTTCTCCGGGTCCTCCGGTTTCCTCCCACTGCTAAAGATCCCTACGCGCAAGCGAATTATTGAAACAAAATTTAAAAAAAACATACGTTAGTCCCGAAGTGACCTAGTTTGTGTCGAGTGGACGTTAAACTCCATCTCTCTCTCTCTCTCTTCTCTCTCTAACCTTGGGACTGATCAGCGCAATGGCCGGTTACGGCTGACCCATAAGAAATCATTTCGCTTGATTTGATATGTACTTTTGTTGTTTATTGTTTGAACTGCCTGTGTGCATGGTGTGTATTGTCCGCGGGTTTGTCTTGCATAGTTGTTTTTATTGTGCAGTCCACCCGCAGTTATGAAAACAGTTCATTAAATACAAAAATAGCTTACCAATACACACTTGTGGAATGGTTGGTATGGGCCTGTAACCAGAGTAACACTGACAAGAGGGAACTCCAGCAGTATTAACTATACAGTCTCCATTCAGGCAATTAAAAAATGCGCATGCAGCTGAAACAAACACAATTATCATTTAATTTCACAACTGCTTTAATCGTCGAAAAATATTAGTCTTCAAAATTTTTATAGTTAAATAAAGTATGTTTTTGATCAGATCATTTTGAATTTGTTTAATTGTTTTATTTTGTTCTGTAATCCAAAACTGAAATTCAAAACTAAAAGCGTAAACTTGGACTCTCTTTCAAAGGTGAGCAATATAAAAGTCCCCAGTGAACACTCTTAAGACTGTGGGTGAAATGGAAAGTTGAGAAACGAATGAGTAATCCTGACTTCTACATCTTAATACAGCTTAGGTTTCTCAAATCTACCGCCTACCTATCGTTCTGGTTGGTTGTCACGCAAGAGGTTTAGTTTATTTCGGAATGCCTTATACCACTTTTCTTTTATTTTGAAGGCTACATAGCTAATAATTTTCGTTGCACATTTAAGTATTTACGACTTTCCAAAATAAAATTAAAAATTAATTCTTACCTTGTGAAGAAACTTGAGGTATAACGCAAATCAATGCAACAATACAACCAGTAGCGACCAGAAACATATTATTCGCCATTTTTGTTTGGATTTCCTTGCAAGAATTCTATCTAAGTTGAATGCTGTTCGCTTGCTTTAGTAACAATGGGTAATATTGCACAAAACTCGACCAATTTATTGGAAAGTCAAGCCTTTGTTTCATCAATTGTACAGTTTTTATTGTGATTATTGATGAGGGTATTGTCCGATCCATTCGTTTTTCAATCTAGATGGGTTGTGTGGTCGGTCACGGCAGATTTTTTTTTATCTAGTGCAATTGTTACTTTTTGTTAGTGTTATTTATATCATTCACAAATACGATATAACAGCAGAATATCTGTTGTTTGCTTTTTTTTCTAAATCGCAACCAGTCATCTTGTCTTTCCTTAGATTTTAGCCGACGTAGAATGTCCAATGTACAAATACCACACATAAGAAATAGACATATCGTTAAACTGGACGATAACAACATTCCATTCGCCTATAAATCATATGCTGGTATTTTTAATTTCGTATAACACAAACAATGCAGGAAGACTGCATAACAAAACAAAGGCGAGGCAATCCATACAATAATACGATATAGAAAATACACACAGAACCCATTCCCATATAAGACAAAAATTGGAAACAAATGGAACCAAAGAAATATTTTAAGGGAGTCATTTCTTGGCTATGTATGGCTTTCACCTAAAATCGGCATCTTTTGATATTATAGTAGAACGATGTAACACCTGGTTTTCAGATGTGTTAATTTGAATTTGTACTACTAAAAAATAAAAATTATCTCTGGCACGACAGGGGATAAAGTTACTCTGGGAGTTTACATGTATTACAATGGATACCACGGGGATTTAAAATAATATTTAGGGTCAGTGTGTATTTCTGATTGATTAGAAATTCAGATGTGATTAGAGTTTCTACGGTGGTTTTCTGGTACCTATGCCTTCCAAGGTCTATGCCTTCAGATTTATTAAGTCACTCATTCGAACCCTATTTGAAAACGACAAATTGCAGTTATTTTAAATCTGCAGTCAATAAATTTTGACGTTTGACTTTAGTTTTGAAGATTATAATTATTTCTTGAAAAGTCGATGGGTCTGTTTTGTCGTCTCACCTTACTGCGATCATGTAATAGTTTTCTTGTAGTTTCAAAATATAGCGATTTACGAGAAGCATAGTGCAACCAGTTAATTTGCGGGCAGCTTTAATTTTAATTTGATCAACTGCACTATGCTTCTCTGTTATACTCTAGAATTGGTAAAATATAACATTTATATAATTTATTTAAACTGAATATTAAAAGAACGGGCAAAATCAATTTAGCTCTACCTAAATAAGGAGATTAATTAAATTGCATACCAGAAACTAAAATGTTTCATAGAAACAAACTAACTTTTCTACAGATAATTTTAAATTAGTAAACGGCACAACTATTATAATATTGTATACCAAAAACTTAGTCAAGTTGGTTTTCGTAATAATTCTGAATTCATTATGGAAACACATGCATTTATTCCAATGAAACCCAATTCAGTTAAAAGAAATAAAAAAATCAAATCACATCTATCAGTATCTATAAATCATTTTTAATATTTATGTCTACCGAACTATCATTTCCCGGGTTGATATTATTTTGACATTTAAGCGCGCAAATCCACTACCAGAATAAAAACATATTTGAAGAATATAAAAACAAGATGTTTACGTCTGTTGGTGTGTTTTTTCGGTTTTTCAGTTAGAAAAAGAAAAAAAAAGAATTTTTAGACAATGGTAGATACAAAAATAAAAAAGACAATTCGTTATGATGGGATCATATCTTGTCATAATATACAATGCATCGCATTTTTTTAATGATTTGTCAAACGTTCGAAGGGTATATAAATGGTCATATTGGTAGAGAAGGGGCAGTTTAAGTAAGTGAAGCTTATTGTAACGTATTCAATTACCAATTACCACAATGAAGTACGTCATCATCGCAGTCGTTCTTGCAGTTGCAACAGTTACAGTTTTCACCCAACGATGTAAGTTTTAATATCAATATTTATAGTTTTAATATCAATATTTATTGAAGAAAGATCCACTGATTCTATATTTGAAAAGGGGTTTAAAATAACTGGAGAATCCGGCAAAATTTGTCATTCTCCATGTACCTACAATAAGTGACGAATGTCGTGGACCAACCAGGTATGCTTATTCTTCGTTTACGAACACCTTAAGACGTTCATATAAAACAATAAGCTGTTTCTTGTTTAGCACACGTTAAAGCGCATTCCATTCCGGTCCTACCCCTTCCTTGTTTTATGTTAAACGATATTGGAATATTTGTTATATTTTTTAAAAACTTTATATTACAGTACCACCACAATGTATCGGAGTACAATGTATAATGGGATCATGTAATATAACGGCAGCAGGTATAGCATTCTGTCAGTGTGATGACGGCTACAAACCATCCAAGATAGTCAACGTCTGTGAAGGTAGTTATACAATCATATTCCTAAATTAGTGGCAACGAGCATTATCAGCTTGTTAACCATTGCTACATCAGATAGCAGTATGGTCGATTGTTTTCATTTGTCAACCAAGTTCGTTCGCTTGTAGACTAATCAAATTGTCGATACACGTTCTACTGCCATGCTTCATACGTCTATTGGAGAGAATTGGAGCCTCAGAGAAAATCCATGAGGTTGAATTAGGAACCGGATCCACGGGCAAATAACTAACCAGAAACGTTACATGTTATGTCACCCGTTTATTTTAACCATGTCTTGATTTGTTTTAGATATTGATGAATGTAAATCATCTACTACACCACTATGCAGTCCTTATTACTGCTGTAACGAACCCGGTGCCTTTGTTTGTAGCTATAGCCGTAAGTAAAACATTTTGAATTTAAAAACCAAATACAGAGGTCGATCATGTTCAAAATTCCTGCTACGACAAAAGTATCGTTTATATGGAAAACGTAATATAGGCATGCACACTTTGTTTATCATATCGTGGTTAAAAACGTGCCTTTAAGGTATGGTGTCAATTCTTTTACCAGCGCTGACATTATTAAGATCTTGTATACAAAGGACATGTCAAGAGTTGATTTGATAAAATCTTGGCATGTGGATGGAAATGTCATATACTGAGTTGACATGTTGATGGAAATGGAATATAATGAGTTAATATGTTGATGGAAATGGCATATACAGAGCTTACATGATGATCGAAATGACATAAACATTCATACAGTGTTATATACCGAGATTACATGACATATGCTAAGTTCAGATTTTGATTGAAATGGCAAATACTGAGTTGACATGTCGATCGAAATGGCATATATTGAATTGACATGTTGATCGAAATGGCGTTAACTGAGTTTATATGTTGATGAAAACGGCATATACTGAGTAGGCATGTGATTTAATTGTTTTTATTTTATTTTTCAGCGTGCCAGTACAGATATTTACAAAGACGACCATTACAAAACAACAACAATTTACTCTATTTATTACTATTGGGTGGTGAAACCAAAAAGTAAAGAAAGGCCTCCCAGCAGTATAGATATTTTTCTTCTTTGATATGTAATGTTTTTGATATTTTCGCCCTTGTAAAAACACAGTTATACATTTTTAATATATACGTACACTCGTCGAGTGTATTGTATCCAAGTAGTTTTTGCTTCTGAAACCATTTGCCCTTTCAGCTATAAGTAATGACGAATGTGTTGCACGATCCAGGATTTGTGTAGCGTGTTTAAATTGTGTTCTTCCATGTATACGACGTCTATAACAATGAAATTTCCGTCGGGTAGCATTTTAACCCTAAATCTGACTAGTTTGCTCTTATTATCACTGGTTAGCGCCTATTAACCTATGTGAGCGAAACGTCAACCCACCGTATTAATGTACTATTTCTGCTTTACAGTCTACATATTATGTGCACTGGTAAACAATTTGGTTACAAAATATGCCATAATATTTGTCCTAGAGTCTGAATTTACCGCTCTAAAGCTGATATCGTAAAAACTTTAAAACTAGCTAAACATAGAGTAAAATGTATGATAATGAATATTATCTTTCATAATGAGACTCATATAATCTGTATGACGCCACATATATCCAGGTCATCCCCGAACCCTTCTTGTCAATAAAATTATACCATTAGCACTGGCTTATTATTTAATTCAGTTGTTTATCCAATCCCGTGTTAGAATCCTGTCCTGGTGGGATTTAAAAGTCCGTTTAACAGTTTCTTTGGGTAAGGCCTGCTTGGTAGACCAGCGAATATATCTAGTGTACAGAACGAAAGCGCATGAAAATAATAGACCACAAAGGGGATAAATAAGGGTATATCTACCAAATGGCTACCAATGAACCTCTTGTAAGAGTAGTATACTTTGCGCATTCAACTATGCTTCCGAT